GGAACTTGTCAAGCAATGATGCCAAGAAGAAATTAATCATTTCATGAGGGAGATTTTTCCCCTTGCCAAACCTCTGACTTTGTGTTTAAAGAAAATCCTGAGCCATCAAGCAAAGGTGAATCATTATCTCATAGCATGAGGGACAAGGGGATTTTATTTTCAGTCCTTCTCAGGATTGAGATGGCTGTCATAAAAAAAGGGAATAGAATTTATTTTGTTTATGGGCTAAAATGTCAAATAGTGCACCAGCCTCTCAGCTCTCAATTCATTGGCAAGGTTGTGGTTTACTTGTTTAAAGGCAGATGAAGGAACTGTGGGCCCTGCCAGCTGCCCTGCAGCCAAATGTCTCCGAATTGCCTTATCAGTGACCCACCCCAGAATGGGAATGTTCTGACATCATGCTTGTTTAAATGAGAATAAACATTTCCTTTGCCCTGATAACTGAGGGAGGAGAAATAATTAGTCTGAATTTCAGATGCTGCACAAGGGCAATTAATTTCTTCCAGGGATATCTGTGTTTGTGCTGGAATTATAACACAGAGAGCTGGAGTGACTGCCCGGGGAACAAAATTATTCTTAATCACAGAATTAGGAGAGAAGGGACAGGGAAAGGTATCAATAAGAAATTGCTCAGTTCTTCCCTTGTCTTTATGCAGGGCCACTATCCCAATGCCATTCCCAAATGATGTCTAATTTGTACCTGCAGGGTTAAATATTTCCCTGCAGGAAATCCATCCCAGAGCCATCCTCATTATTATGAAGTTTTCCAGAGGCTTTGGTTGTGCCTCCTGGCTGCCATTTAAATGTGGTTATTTCTGCTGCTGGTGGTGTCTCTGACAGTTCCTAGTACTGCAGTGACCAAACCAGACACAGCACTGCAGCTCAGGCCTTGTGCTGAAGTCAGCCTCAGCTCTTGCACTTCTTTTTTGTATGTCCCAGTATAATTGTATTCTTGGGGGAACAACAGAATATTGTAAACCAATTTCAGCTTGTGACTTCCTAGCTTCACCGTAGAAGTGCCACTTAATGGGCCATTCCCCATTCCATATATGAGCTGTTGATTAATCCTGTTGAAGTGTAGCACCTTGCTCTCATTTTTATAAAAGTTCATTTGGTTTTTAGACCCTTTTTTCTAGCTTGTCTGCCTGGTTTAGAATTCTAGCCCTCTCCACCAGCATTGCTTGTAACCTCCAGGCTGATGTTGCATCTTAAAAACCACTTTGCTTATTCATTATCCAGTTATCTAATGAAATGCTGAATAACCCCTGAACTGAGTCTTTGCAGTCCTGATGTGATGCATCTTTCCAAGGGGACAGTGACCCACTGCCAACTCCCAGCAGTGACCCAGCCAGTTTTGCTGGCCTCAGAGGTTTCCTTAGGTTGTTTCTGACAGTGCTGTGTGACACAGCCCTGGAATTGATTAAATTTGGCTTTCCTTATCTGCAAGGCCTGTTACCCTGTCACAGAAGGATACCAAACTAGTTTGACTTGATTCTTGACAAATAGCTCTTATTTGCAATTCCAGTTCTTGTTTTTCAAACACAAAATGTTGGTGGGATTATTGCTTGAAAAACATTCTCAGGGATGGATGGTAAATTGCCTTGTGTGTCTTTTTCCAGTTCTCTGTCTCATTTAACAGCACCACTGCACTTGCCCTTTTCCAAGACTGGCACAAGTCACATCTTCCCTGAGCTCTCAGCAGTAATTGCCCATGGTGGTTGTTCTAGGTTCTTCTTTCAGTCTCCTGTGGTGGGTCTAGTGATAGCCCTGAGTCAAAAGAGAGCTCCAGGCAGATCAAAACATAGAAAAGGGACTATCACAAACCTACAAGTATCAGTAACCAAAGTAAATTTCTGCTAAGTGTCTTCACCTAAAACATGTTCACTGGTATTAGTTGTGTGAGCCGTCTGCTCACTAGCTCGCCTTGTTTTCATTGGTGGATAAAAGAGATGCTTAGTTCTGTACCACTTTTCAAGGCATCAACTTGATTAACTTTCCCCTTCTGCTGAACAAAGAATAAACCCTTCTTTTGGGTTTTGTCTTCCTTATTTTACTCCCTTTGTGTTTAAAGGATGCTTTCTTGCTGTTCTTCATGTTTCATACTGCTTTTGTCTGGTTTTTTGTCTTGGCCTCTCTGGGCTTATGTCTGGGGTTATTCTCCTGCCCTTCTGTCCTTCAGGTAATGGTGACCAGACACAGATTCTTCTGTGCCTGTGGCTTTTTCTTCTGTTTGAGTCCAACAAAGGGCTGATGACCATGTGAGTGGGCAATGATGTAACACTTTGTATTAGCTGGGATTAACTGCCCTGTTTGCCATGTGTGCCCATGACTGTAATAATGGAGTTAGTTCTGAGACCAGAACCTTTGCCTGCATCTTCCTTTTATGCACACATATTCAACTCAGGCCTTTAATGTAAGTCATTTTAACTGGATATATAAATTTTCTTCCCCCACTTCAAAGATGTAACTTTCAATAGCTGTAACACTTAGGAATCAATAAGAAGTTTTCCAAGGAAGCCACCAGATGTCTATCCTCACTATTCATCTTCCCCTTAAATGCCTGATCATTCTGATTGCTTTGGAGGAAATTATTTTTCTCTTTTAGCAAAAAATTATAAGGTGTGTATTCTCTGTAGGAAAACGAAAATTAAGTAAAAATATTTCTGACAGCCCTCTGGGATTCACAATGCTATTTTTCAGACACTAAACAGACTTCTGTGAATCTCTTGGAATTTTCTTGTCTCCCAAAGTTAATTTAGTACTGGTATTCCTTAGCTATGGTGACACCCAATAGTAATGTAGTAGCCAAGCAAGTCATGCAAATGTTTTCACGTGTCTCTCCTCTTCAGCTTTGTTGGAGGTGAGAAAATAGCACAGATTTCTGGAACTTTTCCATGCAGACTGGCTCCTGTTCTCTGTGAATTGAGAACCATATCTTGGACCACATGGTTAGCAGGAGGAGTTGGAAACTTTTTTCAAGTTTCTTAAAGACCCTGGCATTTGACACAAAAACTGGCCAGACTCTGTAAATGTAATGTCTGGTTGGTTTATGTTGGCACTGAAAAGACAGTGGAAAAAAACCACCATAATTTTAAGCTTAGTAGTATAAGCAACACTGAAATAACATCTTGTACCCCTTTAGGTGGTGGATACAGAATGTCCTACTGCAGATATCACAGTAGTTAGAATTTGAGAAAAGGTTACACTGATACCTTGAAAAAATATTAGAACAAATAGTTCTTTCTACCTCATCAAAGGTTATTGCACCTGTAGGTAATTCCTTCCTGTCCCTTTCTTGAAATCCATGTATGAAAAGTGGGTTATAGCTATGGGACTATAATGAGAGTATGGGCAAGAAACTCATATGCCAGGGTGAATGGAAGTGTGAGGATTTTGGATTTTGTGCCAGAATTCCCATTTGATGTTATTTAAAACTGAAGATCATGGCTAGACAGTGTGACCAGCCCATGATGAGTGTACAGTCAAGCTCTATAATGTTTGTTTCTATCCTGGCTCTTGTGGAGCTGCTCCTTTAACAAGACTGGGAGGGCTGGGATGAGACAAACAATGTAAAACTGATCCATCTCATACAACCTCACTTCAGGCATCCAGCATCTGAGCTTGGATTAGGAGTCTTAGCTTCTCATAAAGCCAGTGGAGACATTTTGGTGCATATGTGTACACAGTCTCACCCACATCCCAGTGGATGAGACCTTCTGCTGGACCTTCCACACAAGGGAATTTGAGTTTCAGTTGCACTGTGGGCTAAAAATTTGGCAGTGTGTCATTCTTGTAGGAATTGCTTCCATAACTCTGGGCTGCCCCCTTGCAAGAGAGGCATGTCCACTTTGCCAAAAGGTCCTGTGAGAGGACTTTTAAACTACCCTGATCCAAAAGCACAAGCATTGAAGGGAGGGCTGTAAGAGGTAATTATGAAGAAGCCACAGGAACTAGTGAAATAGCAGCAGAGGACAGTGCTGGTGGGAGTTGCTGGGGCTGAGAAAGCCAAGGATAAACTAAGTCTATGTCTGGGAAGACTGATACCTCCACAGCCTGGCAGGGTGGTTATTCTGTACAGGCCAGGAAGGCTGGAGCCTCTCCTTGGTGAGAGGAGATGGAGTGTCCTTCTGTGAGAACAACAAAGCCATTAATTGAATAGTTATGTTGCAAAATGAGCCTTTAATCACGCTCTGGGGCAAGCAGGTAGGTGTTGGAGCATTTCTTTCTCTTTTCCAAAAGTATCACCTCCCCTGAATGCTTGGTTTCAGACAGGTGCTTACACAGATTCCCTGTCCAGGAAACTTCCTGCTTTAACTTTGTCAGGGGACAAGAAATAAATAAATAAGCAAATAAATAAATAAGGGCTAATCCCAGACCAAAAGTTGTGTTTGAAGAGAACATCCTTAAACTTTTGCAGTGAGTAGGTTTTGGCTGGGCTCTTATCATGGTTACCCTAAGGTGATGCTGTGCAGGATCTGTTTTTGTGGTTGGTCCATGTGCCAGGGATGCTCTTGTCCACAAGGCCTCATTTTCAGTGTAGTTAAACAAAGGCCATAATGGATTCTTCCCCAAAGTACAGAGTACCATCAGCAGGCCCTGCAACTTCATTTAGCCAAGCAAACTTCTGAGTTTTCCTCTCATTTGATGCCTAGCAGAATGAAATCTCACTTAAAGTGAGTTACAGCTAAAGCAGGGGATGGGAGCTGTGTATTTCAGCACAGTCCCTTCGGGAATAACAGCAACAAACACAAAAATTGCCCAAGACTCTCTTATGTGGGTGGCAGCAGCCAGTGTCTGCCAGGGAGAGGGCATGGCCTTTGGGAGCAGAGGAGGAGTGCAGCAGTGACCACCCATCACATTGTGGTCCCTTTAAATCTTCTTCTCCACTTGGCAGCTCCAATTTTTCAGTGTTGCTATAGCAAATCTCCATGGCAATGACCCTAATCAGGGAAGGGGGGATGCTGAAGGGGCGCATGCTCGGAGTGGCTGCTGGAGCCTTGCCTCTCTCTCCAGTTGCTCCAAGGGTCTGGCACACAGGAGAGGAGAAGGATCAGGTACTGGGCAAGCTGGTCCTTGGGGTGCACCTCGGGCCCACGGCGTGACTGGCAGCAGCGCGTGCGAGTGGGGTTGTGCGTGCACGGGGTCTGGGCTCATCACATCTCACCCACTTCTTTGTGAGGAGCGTGCAGGGAGCAAACTGCTGCTTTTTCACTGCTTCTCCTCGTTGCAGGCAGGGAAGACAGCTTGAATTATTGACGAGAGCAATGGCGCTGCCGGCCGTGAGGAGCGAGGCGCGGGTGGGAATGCTGCTGCTGTCGGTGCTCAGCCTGCTCAGCGCCAGGCTCGTGGGCGCTGGCCAGGACTCCGGGAGTGCCATCCCTGCAGAAAGTAGGTACCTGCTGCACCCTGCCCTGCCTGCCTTCCTCCACTGCCCCCAGCAGCCACAGGGGCTCCCTGCTCCAGGGAAGCCTGGTGTTGTCCGATTAATGATGAGTTTGTGCCATGCCAGCAAAGCACGTGAAAACAGCGGTCACGGAAACAGCATGCAAGCAAAGGATTAGTAGTTATTTAGGAAAAAAATGCTAATTGCATACTCTTAATTTTCAGTTGAGCTTGTGCTCAAGCTCTTTGTTTGTAGGTCTTTTAGATCTGCTTCTTGAGAGTTTCATTTCGCTAGATTTAATTGATATACACGGATTTGCCACAATACCTATGATGTCCTTACTTGTCTGAGTATTGTAAGAAGAAAATTTGTGTGTATTTCTGCTGGGGCATTACATCTTGCTTATTTTAGTATTTGGTTGGAACAATAGGTCAAGTTCAACTATCTTGTAGCTACTACAAATCAACACAGGGGATGTTTACCCAAACTGTGCATTTGGAAAGCAAATATAAATTTCTGAAATCTCGCAAACCTAAAAAATTAATCAATATGACAGACTGGCTTGAGAACATCACAGAGCTGGGAGCTCTTGAATTTGGATCACAGCTCTATATGAGTTTCCTCTGTCGTTTTGAGTAAGTCTATAAACTTTCTCAGCTCCAAAAGGAGGCAATAGTTCAAAGCTACAGGGGATGGAGTCAATGTTCTCGGGGTGTTTTGGTGACAGCAAGTGGGAAATAGCCACTCATTAGAAACATAAAATGTCCTCTGGGAAAAAAAACAACAAAGAAAGATAATTGCATAAAAACAAATCTCTAGTTCTTAGTCATGCTTACTTTGTATCACAGATATCTTTTTATATGACTATCAAAATATTTAATACAAGGTCTGATTTTGTTACTGCATTTTATTAGCAATTAATTCCATTAGATGGAACTTAGATGTTGAATTTCTTTAAAAAAACAACAAAGAAAGATAATTGCATAAAAACAAATCTCTAGTTCTTAGTCATGCTTACTTTGTATCACAGATATCTTTTTATATGACTATCAAAATATTTAATACAAGGTCTGATTTTGTCACTGCATTTTATTAGCAATTAATTCTGTTAGATGGAACTTAGGTGTTGAATTTCTTTCTTTTTCCATTATCTTTTTTTTTTTTTTTTTTTTTTTTTAGGGCTAAGTTTCGGTCTGTTCTAAACCAGATCTCACTGCTATTTTGTGTGTCTGTTTCCTAGGAATTCATTAATTCTAATAAGTTTTGTGATGAGCAGTCCATTTTATCTCCTCAAAGAGAAAGTCAGGCTTGGAAAATAAATTGTACATACTTTTTGCATGTCTGTGTTAGCAGAGGCAAGTCAACACATTTGGGAAAACGAGTTTCTTGTTCTACTTATGTAGTGAAAACTCCCATTTGAACTGCAAAACAAAACTCTTGGCCAGGGTTTCTGACCCAAGTCTCACAGAATTATAAAACCATAGAAAGGTGGGAAGGGCCCTTTAGAGCTCATCTAGTCCAGCCCCCTGCCATGGGCAGGGACATCTTTAACTTGATCAGGTTGCTCAGAGCTGAGTTCAACCTGACCTTGAACAATTCCTGGGACAGGACATCTACAACCTCTCTGGGCAACCCATGCCAGCGCCTCACACTGTCACAGTAAAAGCTTCTTCCTTAACTAGTTAAATTTCACCCTCTTTTATTTCCTTGACCTATCACAACAGGCCCCACGAAAATGTCTGTCCCATCCTTCTTACAGTGTCAGGGAGTCTTTTACCATCTTATTACCATCCTCTAGCCAGGATGGCTAGAGTCCCTTGAACAGCCTCCACAGTCCCTTGTGGAGTCCCTTGAACAGCCTTTGAGGAAGATTCCTTGTCTTGTCTTACTCCTGGATGTAAGAGTGTGGAATGAAGGGCAGGTCAGTGTTTCTGTGGCAATGTTACCCAGAGAGACACAGCCCCATCCCAAGGAGCAGAGGCTGTGAGCACTGCTACAAAAGCATAATGCTATTTCTGTCTGAGAATAGGCCAGGAGCAAGGCTGCCAGCCGATCAGTGAATTGTAAATTGTTTTGGGCTGCTGCAGGGACAGAGTTTTAAAGCCACAAGGAACTCCTGATGGTCCTTGTCAGCCACTTGTTGGGAGAGTGCTGCATAGCTGTTAAGTGCTCCAGACACTTTCCTTGGCCTGTCAGGGCTCTTCCTGATGGTTAACCTGTGAAACTCTTCCCTTAGGACATGGTGGATGCTAAAGGTTTGCGTGAGATTGCAGAACCAATTGGTTAAATTCAAGGGAAAAAAATCCTAGAAAGGGCTGTTAGACACAGTGGCATTTCTTCTGGCTCAGGGGCTGCCTTAGCATATTCCTGAGACCTGGGAGCGTCTTTGGGGGTGCATCCCTCCAGACTTGCCCTGTTCTCATGCTATTCCAAGGCACCCGTTGCTGTCCATGAAGGTGTAACAGTGCCCAGGGATGCACCCTGGCATGGGGACATGACTGTGCCAGTACCCTGCCAGGACTGAGCCTGGCACACTGGTGTCCATGAGAAGAGGCCATTTCTCTGTCTGAAAGATAGAGCTGACTGTTCCAGAGTGGAGCTATCCCATGCTCTCAAGGCTTGGGAATGCTCCCAGACTATCAATATTCCTCAAGCAATGCAGATTGTGGGAGACTGGGCACTGGGTAGGGCACTCATTTTGGTGTGATCTAGTACAGACACTCCTGGATCCTTTCCCTCTTGATACTCCACTGGCTACATCTCAACAGGAGCTGATCCCCGTGGGCACTGACCCTTTCAGAGGGCATGGCCTCTGCAGCACACACTTTCCCTATTGCTGCATTTATGGCCTTACTGTCAGCCCAGACAAACTGCTGGGTGTGAGATCCTGGATGGCCCAGAGGGGTCTCCAGTGCATGTTCTTAACAGGGTGGACATGGGCCATATTTAGTGTCCTTCTGCAGGGCAGAGCAGTGTGGGTCTCTGTCACCCTGTTCTTCTAAGTTCTTCTAAGTTCTTCTAAGCCTTCTGATGTTTACATTCTTGCAATGAACTTTCTCACACACTTTATTTAAATAATTGTTTTACATTCTTTTCTGGAGGAGGAGAAATTTGATGGACTATTGGTTTGTCCAGTGTCATTGGAGAGATGGCACTGTCATCCTCCAATCCACTGTCACTTTTGAAAATCTATAAATGTTAGAGTCAGAAGTTAATCATCCTTCTTTTTACCTTAGAGATTCCAGTGTCTGCATAATTTTACTTTGTGTCCTATAGTGACAGTGCTCGATGCTTTTCTCTGTTCCCAGGTGTGTGACGTGACACTGGCAGCACACCCTTAGCAGGAACATTCCTGCATGGACCCCACAGTCTGTCTCCCACCTGGTGGGAGGAATGTGTCCCTCCTGCAGCATCATGAGCAGGACAGGGGCAGCAGTGCTCCGTACAAGTGTGGGAGGTGCAGGAGTCACAGGAGAGGAGCATGAGAGTGAGTCACAGATCTCTTCAGCAGTGCAGAGAGATCCTGTCCTGTGTGAGACACTGAGTTCTGGCTCGGGGCACCATCCCCTGCTCTCTGCCAGTCACACAGCCAGGCACAGCTCTTTATGCATAATTCTAATTAGCAATGATTAATTGTGTCCTTATACTTTATTTACAGCACTTAGCATATGCAAAAAGCTGTTCAAGTTTGAAGTGGTGCTACTAATACTTACAGATTTTTTTCTTTAAAGTTCTCTGCAAACTGCTAGAAAAAAAAAAATAAGTAATTTCCCCAACCTCCCACTGCATTTATAGCCCAGATCACCCACTGTGAAAGCTAAAATATGGAATCTGAAGACCAGAAGCTGGTCAGTCTGTTTTCATTAGCCAAGGTGCATGAAATACAAAGAATAAACACCAAGTGTATGCAAGGGAAAGTAAATTATACTTACAAACTGCTTTCAGTCCCAGGTCTTCACCAAGAAGAAGCCAAGAAATATATTTTTTTCCTTCCCCCACTTCTCCCAAAACACACAAAGACACATACAGTCTTCGTGCTGACAGGATCCATTTAAAGAGTTATAGCTGGCTCTTGATAATTCTCATTATGTTAATCCACAGACCTGTTAAGTCTCCCTATGAATGATAGTCTGTTTCCAGCTGTCAGCAAGGAATTAATGGCACTCTGCTATACTTTGCTATGATGTGACTTAAGATTTGGTTTCATGACTGCTTTAAGCTGATGTAAGCCTTGCTGCCTCTGCCCTTCTCCTCTCCATAACCCAGTCTCCTCTCCTTGCACTGTTTCTTCTCCTGGCCCCAGAACTTGGGCATTCAGGATCTGCTCTGGGGGCAGAAAGGTCAGTGCTCCAGCTGATGGAGGAGCTGCATTGTCCCTTCTCCTGTGAGCAGGTGGAAGTGTGAGATGCCATAGCCAAGGACAGAAAGCACAGTGGGATTGCTTCTATTGGCAACAGCACATACTTAGATTTTTTTTTGGTAAAACAGATGCTTAGACATATTTCTGCTGGGGAAATATCCATGACACCTTGCTGAAAATATTATGGGCATGAAGAGAGGTCAAATCCACAGAGATAGGTCAGCTTAGCAGATCAGCTCTTCATTCTGGAAAGCAGACCAAGGCAGAGAGTGATGGAGAACATCAAAGTCATAAGTGGGACAAAGTTGGTGATTATTTAATAACTGTCTCTTCCACTGCAAAAATTAGAGGCAGGAAATGAAAGCGGCAGATGTCAACTTCAGAGCAGACAGGAATGGTATTTTGTTCACTCAGTGAATAGCTGGGCTGTGGAATTCATTGCCACAGGATGTTGCAGATGACAAAAGTTTATGTGGATTCAGGAAGCAACAGTGCAAATTAATGTGAGAAAAATTCATGGAGGGTTTATCAGATGTAGAAACACCAGCCAGACACAGGATATCCTCCAGCCTCCTGGTAGGCTGGAAGAACATTGCTAGACACTTACTCTTGTATCTTCCTTGAGTATCTGCCATCGGCTACTGGCTCCCAGCAGGCAGGGATGCTGGCCTGACCCAAAGACAGCAGTGCCTGGAGAAAACAGCCCAAAAACGACATTAAAGAGTGAATGTCCTGTTCTGTGGTGAAAGTGGCTGCATGTGCTTTCTGACTTTGGGGGGCAGTGCTGTGTTAGGAGCTTTGCAGATGCTGATTCAGGACACCCAGAGCTGCACAGGCAGGTGTCCTCTGTGCCACCACCCTTTTCCTACAGAAAATGCTTTGATACCAGGGCAGCTGCTTTCCCAGGACTGGCAGAAGTGAAATAACCACTTGACATGGTTGTGCCATTCCACTAGTGCCTCTCTGTCCACAAAGGAGCACTTGGCTGTCATAAATACCAGTGAGTGATCCCATCACAGCTTTCACAAAGCCCTGGGAAGACTTCCAGTGTGACAAGCAGAGACAGATTATAGAATGTATGGCTCTCCTCAAAAGTGCTTTCTCCCTACTGCAAAAGCAGGAGACATTAATTTATCACCTGATTTTTCTTTTTTTCCTCCTTCAGGTTTTGCTTTTGAGAACACTTTGGTGCTTGTCAGCACTTCAGGGCACGCAGCACCTCCCCGAGGTGGAGCCAGGGCAAGGTGTTTCTGAGCAGCCCAGAGCGAGGGGAGGGAGCAGGGCATGACACCGAGAGAATGATGGATTTGCTGACAGCAGTCTGAGCATGCAGGTTCTCTCTAAGGGCTCTGTTTCATGCTCTGAAGTGGAAACAACTAAATTACTTGCAATACTGAAAGCAGAAGGAGGTTGAGTATCTTTAAAGTGTGCTCAATCCTGTCACTACTTCTGTGCCTGGAGAGGCAGAGTCTTTGTGAGCAATGCTGTTCTGACAGAGGTGGGGACTTTGCATCTCCTCACAGCTTGGGAATTAAATCCCTAGCACGATCCCCAGGTCTCCCTGAGATGCCACTTGCACTGAGGGGAGATGTAGAAGGACAGGTGGGAGAGAAACTCCTCCTGAGTAGATCAAAACCCCTCAGAGGCTTGCTGAGGACTGGAAAGCACTCTGGCTGCTGCCTTCCTCCAGGCACAAGTCAGAAGGCAGTGCTGGCAGCAGGGTGCCAGGCACAGATGGGTGCTGCAGGGCTGCTCAGCAGGTCCCTGGCTCCAGAGAGCTCCCCAGCCATCTCAGCAGCAGCTTTGCACCCTCTTTGCTTTGGTAGAGCAACACAGGTGGCTGCATGAGGACAAGGATTTCGGCACTCCCCCCACCATGGGAGCTCTGTGATCAGTATAAAATGTCATCGTTTCCCCATTCCCGCTGCATCTCCTCCAGTGTCTGCAATTTCTTCTTCTGAAAACTCACACATCACTAACTTCAAACAGTCAGAGATTGGTGCAGGGTGAATCCTGGCAGAGCAGAAATGCCCAGGTTCAGAAGTGAGCCATTTTAGCTGTCAAGTCCCCTCCTCCTCCACTCTCTGCCTTTTCCCTGCCCTGCCCCTCTGTGCACACACACTGGCAGCAGCTGCAGAGCCAGTGGGATGCTTTGGATTCCTGGCAGAGAAAAAATACAGCAGCAGGTGAAAGGAACCAAATACAGATCTGGCATTGTCCCTCGCCAAGCTGCTCTGTAAGAGCTCCTGTAAAAACAGACCTGCCTGTCTGGTTCCTGAACCACTGCAAACTGCTGTTTTCGGTGTATCTGTTGAGAATTAACCCGTATCTGAGAAGGGGTAAGGATTTCAGTTCGAAGGGGAGCGGCTGGGGGCTGAAGCAGCAGGCAGAGTCAAGTCTGGGCCGTGTTCAGAAAAGCCCACCCAGCAAAGTACTCTGTGGTTCTTGCCGATCCTCTCACACTCGCACAAAGACAGACACAGGCAGGCCTGACTTTGCACGCACACAGGTGTGGGTGCCTGGTAGGAGCTGGAGTTTCTCCTGGCAAGTATTCCTCCTCTGTACTGCCAAATTCCGGCTTTCCTGCTGTGACAGCGATGTCCCCTCCTGCCTCTCTCCGCAGGCCGTCCCTGCGTTGACTGCCACGCGTTCGAGTTCATGCAGAGGGCCTTGCAGGACCTGAAGCAGACGGCGTTCGGCCTGGACGCGCGGGTAGGTGTCCTGCAGGAATGCTTTCCCTCAGCCTCCGTCTCCCGGCCGCCAGGTCTGCCCGTCTGGCTACAGCAGACATGACATCTCTGCTGACTCACTCCCATCCCCGCAAATAGGTTTCTAGCAAGCACAGATCGTTTTTCACAGGCTGCAGAGGTTCAGTAATGATCATCTAGTCTGACTTCTTGCATAACAGCCTAAGGAATTACCTCAGACAGTCCCTGCACCAAAGGGAGAGGGAAAGAAGATGTACAAAGGAGAGGGAAACAAGACAGATGATTTACTCTCTGCCTCACACCATTGCTTCTAAGCTGTGGACTGAAGCACACACACACACACACACACCCTTTGCTCATGGATTGATGCTTTGTGGAAAAGGAGAAGCACATTTTTTCATGCATTTATCACAGCACACAGGGGATTCTGCCACTTCACATGGCAGTCCCCAGAGGTCTCAGTGAGCAAAATGAGGGTGTGTTAAATGTCCTGATTTTAGTAATTCATATATGTGTGGGTTTGTAAATATGTGCAAACTGGCTGGGGTAGGATTTCCACAGTGGTTCTGCTGCTGAAGTTTGCAAGAGGCAGGAGGTCTCTCTCCTCTAATAAATCCCTCTGTGCATGTCTTGCCCTACCTCTCCTTCCTTTGAGCAGGGCCATCCCTCTTGGCAGGTGAGAAGGTTCCTTGCTCCTCTGCAGTCACACTGAGCTCAAATTGTCATTCCCAGCAAAGCCAATCAAAGAGACATAAGACAATTATGTGTCTCAAACAATAAGGCATTTTTATAGCTTTGCCTTTGGTTTCTTGTGACCTTGGGCAGCTGTGTCAGGCCCTACACAGTAAAGTTGGAGTGACTTCAGCTTTCTTGAGCTATCAGTAGCAAACTGATTAGGACAAAGTTCTGAGTGTGGGTTACATTCCAAAAGTTTCCCATGCACTTGAGTAATAATAAATAACTCTTAAGTGGTAAAGTGTCAGTAGAGGGGCTTTACCTCCAGCAGCTGTGCTGGGCTCTTCTGGTGCATAGCAGAGTTCCACTTGTTTGGATTAGGGTCAGCTGAAATGTTTTGTACTTACACATGACATGTAAAGACCAGGTGCAATTGCAGCTGTGCTGGTTCTTATGCTATCAACTTTACTGGAAAGTTAAAGATTTTTTTGAATGCAATGGAGACAGCACAATTCCTTAATCCCACACACAGAGGTTTTCAGATGTGTCTGTGATGTCTGTTCTATCGGGAGGGTGGACTGAGGGTGCAGCCCACCAGAGAGCAGTGCTGCCTTGGGGGAGCTGAGGCAGAATATAAGGGGAGGAGCTGGTGCCAGGGTGCCACAAGATGAATTTCTGTGAGGACCTGGACAGGCCTGACATGCCAAGGCATGACTGAGACAGGTCCCAGTGTTACAGAGCAAGGGGCATAGGAGCTGTGCATCACAAAACCAAACAGAACCAGTTGTTTGTAAGATCACCCACCCTTAGACAACTGAGCTTAACACTACTGGTAAATAAAGGCTGTATTACTGTACACATTTCCCAGTCTTTGGATTGATACTCCAAAGGGCTTTCTCTCAGAGATGCTTTGGTTAAACACAAATTATTGAGAGATACAGATATACTAAAGTGAAATACAGCAACCAAGGCCCTACAAAGGCCCCCTGTGGCCTTCTCTACTCTGACAGGTAGAGCTTCCATATCCTTACACCACTGCTGATGCTTGGCTTATGCTGACCAGCTATAATTTCTCAAATTTGACACACAAATAACTTCACTGAATAACTCCTAAGTCTTGGAAATTGTTGCTACAAGGGTAAGCCCCATGCAGGATTGCTCCTGCATATCAGGGAGTTTCTAAGCCAATGCCATCAAGGCCAAAATTAATTTTTGTAATTGATACCTCTCTTTCACAGTCTTTCAGTTTGCAACTGAGTGCTCCCAGAGCTGCTCTTCCTGCCCATAAATAGTCCTGAGTGACGCCCAGGCAGAGTTTGTGGTAGCAGTGACAGCTTGTTGGCATTACTGTGAAATCCAATAAGCCTGTTTGATGTTAAGATGATTCTATGATTTCTCCTGGGCTCCCAACAATGGGAGCATTCACTCATCCAAGATTTCATTGTGCAAGCAGGGAGCAGCGTTGAACAGTGCCTGCTGTTGCACTAAGCTGATAAGTGAAAGCAGGCAAGGAATGTGAACAAACCCTCTTTAATGCAAAGGTGGAAGTCAAAAGTTTGAGTTGAGGAGGATATAGGGCTGGGGAGGAGAGGGAAAGCTGTTCTGAAACAGCCTGTCTTGCACAAGCTTGGAATCTGAGAAGAAGAAGTGAATAACAGAGAGTGGGCACTGCTGGGGGACAGAGGCACTGCTGCCCAGACCAGGCAGGAGGGGACAGGACCCACATAGAGTGCCCAGCTTCTCCTTTGGAAAGTGCCTTGGTTAATTAGCCCTTTGTTGTGTCTGCTGTGACAGGAGGTATCAGGACAGAGGAACACCAGCAGGCTGAAGACCTTGTTGTTTCACAGAGCTTTGAGATAATTTCTTAACATGTGGGTTTCAACCTCTAGTGGGTTTTTGCAGTGTAGATGGGAAACTCATCCACAGTGAATTTAAGCCCACTAAATAAATTTTTTCTCCCCCCAAGAAACTCTTCAAAGCCAGTCTGCAAACTGCTTGAGGGACCACAGACCACAGGGTGAAAACCACAAGATATGCTCAGGAAGAAGTTTCTCTTCAGTCACAATTGCACTTGCTGATGTGAATTCCTTGCACCAACAATCTCCAGTCTCATGAGAAATTGGCTTCTGAAATGATGGTGCCGTGCAAAAGATTCAGCCTTTTTTTCTCCAAAAGTGTGACAAGAATCCACAAAATATTTAAGTTATTTGATCACAATTAAATAAATGATACTTGAATATCCTTAAAGATCTAAAATTATTTTTCCCCCTGTATACAGAGAAAAAAAAGCTTGGAAATGCTTTTCCACTAAAGAACTCTAAATACAACAGCAAGTAATTTTAAATTATGTATATTGGGAATAGTTTTTAAGCTTTTGCTCGAGTACTGATAATAAAGCAACTGTCAGTAATTTAACTCAGATTGAAATAGGAACCACACACTCAGACCTAGATCTGCCTTGGAAGATTATGAGTTTCAGACAACAGGGTTAGACTGACAGCTGGATTCAACTCAGAGTTGTTCTAGAGAAACAGCAGTGTAACTGAGAGCACAGCTGGCTCCTCAGCACTTGCTGTCTGGTACAATTAAATTATACAGGACTGAAGGCATCATCAACAGGAAGCCATCAATCACCCGGAGGAATTAAGAGCAGTGCAGTTGAAAGCGGAATTTGTCGCAGCGCTTATAAAGGACACTTTAATAATTTTGACTGCCTACTCCCTAGAAGTTAACTGTGAAAATTAAAATATTCAAACATAAAAATGCTCTCCCTGAGCACTCATCTCAGTTCTGAATATACTCATTTCACTTTTTCTGGATGAAAACCAGCACTAAGAACTATGATTTTTCACTCAGCAGAGCACCTTGGTTACAGCTGTGCAGAGGGATTAGATCTAATCAGTTATATACTCTTTTAAAGCAATATATTCAGTTCTTTGATTAATGGATTTTTGTTTGGGTTTTTTTTTTTTTTTCAGACAGAAACCCTCCTCCTGAGAGCAGAAAAGAGAGGCCTGTGTGATTGCTTTCATGCAATACACTGAAATGAGCACTGGGATTTGGCCAATGGACATATATTCATTTTTAAAATGCTGTTCAGTAAATTACAGGAAGATACAGAGTGCAAGTTGTGCCCCACCATAAGGAAAAGCATTTTTATCAAAACAGGTACAGCTCAGATTATTTTTGCTTTGTTGTGGTTTGTCATAAGTCTATGTGATATTGCATCTGCTGAAATGTCAAGAGAAGAAACAGTGCCAAAGTCTTGCTTATGGATTTTATGCAAGGACAGAATCCTGCTTTTTTGGTATTTCAAGCCAAAAATTGACCTTGGACTACCAGGCCAACCTCTTGGTTTATGTGAATTGCCATAGAGCTGTGAAAGTCAGTGTAGTCAAATTTTTTAATGTATTTATAGAAGAATAACATGAAAAGGAAACTACTTTGCCATGATGCATAGATAAACATTTACAAACAAGCAGACTTGGCATTATCTAGAAATTAATAGTTATCAATGACTACTTGGCAGTCCAAGGAAGAGATTTGTTCCCCAGTTGTATCAATAGTCCAGTGCACAGCAAACACAGTAATCTGTCTGACAATTTTGATTTCTTCAGAGCCACACAGTAGCTGTGATCTTTTTGGAGAGATTTATTAAGTATCTAATGTGATCAGTAACATTTGTAATCACACGAATACTGCCTGGCAGTTGAACTGATTGAGTCTGCCAAAATCTTCTGGAGAAGTGTCTTTCATTAAGCAAATCACATGCTGGATTGAACCACTCAAAGTGGCCTCTACAGAGAGTTTTGGCAGAGAGTCTACACAATGCCTGTCTGCCCACTCCTCTCTTGTAAACTGTATTTTGGGATAATAATACTTAATAAATACTTAAATTCTACCAAAATGGTCCTTAGCTCTTGCATGGACTCTGCACTCTGAACTCTCTCTGGGTGGGTTACAGTGCTGATGTTATTTGTATTTCTGCTGCAGAGACAAGAGAGAACAAACCAATGTAAGTAGTGTAGTCGTAGTAGTAGACAATAAGATTGTGCCTTGTTACTCTTTAAAACAGAATAACAAATCCTTTCTCTTTTTGGTGTTTTATATTTTTTGGGGTTTTTTTTTTTTTGGTTTTGTTTTTTTTTTTTTTTTTCTTTTTTTTTTGCATTTTTTCTTTATTTTGGGAAGCAGAACAGAAAATGGCCCCAGTGGAAAGTTCCTGTTGATAACAATACATTTTTCATTGGGCTTAAAATATCATCCCCGAAGTAGAGATTTTTGTATCAGCTCAAGTATCTATATACTCAAAAATTAGGCTCCAAATTTTTTATACAAACAAGAATATTGGAACAGGATCAACAAAAAAGTCACTTTCAAAGTAATTTTACTAATTCTTTTCAATACGTCTGTCTTTCCACAAGAGGCTGGTGTTTTTGATATTTTGCTCTCAGCCTGCTCAGTAAGTTAGGAGGGAAGCTACCTGTATGTTTCCAAACTGCTTCTTTCCCATTTTGTCTACAACATCAAACACAGGGAAATAGGGAACTTTGACCCACTGCCTAGTTATTATTTCATGTGCAGTCCTACTCAGTAACACAAAGGAGCATGCTGCCATATATTCTGCCGAATTTGTTAGAAAGGCGTGTGGTTCTCAGCAAGGAAAACCTTCCTTGCACCTGCATTTCAAATGAGAAGTCTGTTTTGTCCTCTGTAGTATTCCAGCAAACCCCTTTAGAGGTCCTTGGGACCTGTTTTGTGTACAAGAGAAGCAGCATGACACAGCAGCAGCTCCCTTCTGGTAGCATCACGCTGCACTGTGGCACCGTCAATAGAGCAGCAGAAGTTTTCCTCATAGACCAAATTTTATTGTACAAAGAAAACAGTAGGATTAACACAGCTTCCTTGAAGAATACCAGCCTTTGGCTTCTTTACTCCCACTTATATCTGGACCAAAGTAATGCACAGCTTTTGAGCCAGCTTTTTGCAGGAGATGGAGCCCCAGCACTGAACATGTGAATTTTCCAGCACAGTTCCCCTTTTCAGGGGGCAGCATGTCTATGGTTTGGTATTGATATTGTGCATGCTTATTCTGCTGGTACCCTAAAGAATATTGCAAAGTCCTGTTACAGGAATTGGGGTTTTTTGTTCATGTTTTCATTTCAGAAAAATGGTTGCTCACAGTTGAGTTTTGATATATGCAGCTTGTTATAATAGAAAGGTGGAATGAATGACAAGTGGGTGTTGTCTGACTCCCAAAGGGATCAGAGTGACACTGCAACTTTATGGTTGCAACAGAGTGATTGTTCTGTACTTCTCTTTGTCTATAATACAACACAATAAAAGGGCAAGATGCATTATAGTATTTGTGTGCTTTGTTTCTGATTTGACAAATTGATGGTGCTTATACATTAATTAATGTCTGTTCTTTAGTTAGGCAGAAAATACACAGAGAAAAGATGCTATTTTTAATACAAAAATAAGAAGACCTTGCATTTGGGCTAAATGTGTTAATATATTCTAATTTGCTGAAGTGGAAAATCCAACTCACTCATTTGAAATAAAGGTACAGCAATGATTTTGTGAGTTTCTTTAAGGACCCCTTACTCTATACTTGGTAGTTTTGATAAAGTTCCTTATAATTGCAGGATGGCATGAAGAAAACTTGGAGCTAGATAGTTTGAATTTATTTTTGCTCAGGAAGTTAATTTAAATTCAGAACCCCTTGAGTCCCCACTTACTAGAAGAAACCCTGTATTTTGCAGAAGGATTTAATTGCAGGAGTGTTTAAAGCAGAAAGTTTTTTCTCCCACCCAACACTTCTTTTGCTGCAGAGCTGAGGCAGTTCTCGTGACCTTTTGTCGCCAAGCTGTGTCTTCTCTTCTCTTCTCTTGGTGCAGTGCTGCTGCTGCTATCCCTGGGCACGTGGTGTTTGTACACAGGGTAGAATGCAGGTGGTAGCCTGTGAAATTCACAGCCAAGTCCTCCCTGGAAGAGAAATGGCATAATCATGTTAGTGTGGTGCTGTCTCTGGGCAGGCAAGGTGACAGAAATCCTGGTAATGATCTCCAGAGCTTCTCATACCTGACCTTTGCCTTCTTTGGGTGTAATTCTGTGTGTGTTCTAAGTCAGTAGTTTTGGACTGAGTCTCAGATCAGCTCTACGAAGACATGTCTGGATTTCATTCTGGAAATGGAAACACAGTTTACCTTGCTTGTAATGTAGAATCCTGTTAGGTAACATCAAAGCTCAGTAGTATTATTGCTAGCTGAATCTAGCTGGTGAGTGGACTCTCTGGAATACTCTGAAAATCCTGTGGAATACCCTCTCCAGATGGAAACCTCATATTTAGAAACCAGTTATGTCTCTGTACCCAGAACTGTCTGTCAGTAAATCCTGGGGTAATCTGAGCATCTGACACACATTCCCCATTTTCAGAGAAATAAATTGTGGAAGTAGTTCCTTTAAGAGTGACCATGTGGTTTCTGTGGCCTCCTCTGCACCTGGCCCAGGCTGGAAGGCAAAGACAAGAGCTCCTCCTGTAGCAGTGGCACCCATGGTGTGCACACAGATCTCACCCTGATGAGACAAAGCACTTGCTGAGCTGAAGCAGGCTAACAGGAATCCCAGCTCAGTTCAGTGTTTAGTTCAAAGGTAATTTAAAAGCAGAAAGGCTCTGAGGCTGTTGTGCCTTTTGTGAGGCAGAGAAGCATAAAGGATGTTTTCCCTTTGGAACTGGTGCAAGGCAGGAAATTTGCCCTTGCCCTTCTTGGCCTGCAGATAGACCCCCTTACCTAAAGCAATGTTCTGCTCAGTCCTTCCCTGGCCAAGACTCAGGGCATGAGAGAAGAGGGGAGCAAGTGTGGAGGGGAAAAGAGCCTGCCCTTTGCAGCCTGGCTGAGTTCCTAGCAAATCAGGGCTCCTGACAGAGAAACCAGAGCTGCAGCCTCCCAGGGATTTACGTGCTGAGCATGGTAAGCAGGGGCTGAGGGCAGCGCTGCAAAGTGTCACAGTGGTGTTGGAGCCAGGGTTTAAAAAAGGGGAGCCCAGAGATGTTGTGTGCTTTGGGGCAAAACAAGGGATCATTCCTCACACTCTCATCAAGCATGTGAAATTTCCAAACTTTCCAGAACCTGCTTTTGAGAGCTGTGCAATGAAATGCAGATGGAAGAGGTGGTTGCAAATAACCCCTGTGCTCCTCAGCTGAAGCTGTGCAGAAGATGGGAAGTCTCAGGGAGGCTGTGTGCTCTGCTTGTTCCCAAGGGAGATATGGAAGAGACGGAAGCATCTTTTGCAAACTGGTTCTTGCTGATTTAAAGATTAAGGGGAAATGAATTTGCATGTGCTTTTACCATCTAAGGAGAAAGGCAACACTCACTTAAAGAGTGTTCTTTGCAGTAAACATTAAACAGAGGTGGGAACTAATATCAATGGCAAATATATATGTGTGTGTGTGTGTGTGTGTGTGTGTAATATGTTTAAATATTTAGCCTCTTTTTTGCTGTATTAAATATTTTGAATAAATAATTCCTGGCTGCAGTGGATGAAGCAGATGGGTCTGCTAAACTTCTGAAAAGTCACCATGATTTTCCAATGTCTGATTCTGTTTCTGCTTTGAACTGGCCTTGAGGTTCTGCTCAGAACATGCACCTCCACATAGGCAGAGGATGGAATTAATTTTACCTCATATGCTCATGATAATTTGTTGACTGCTGAAGAAGGATCCCCCAACAGAGGGACCTTTGGTCCAATGGGTACAAGCTTCTGTGCTCTTGTTGTGTTTTCTATGTATGTGGCTAGAAACAAGTTGAAGTTATTAACTGGCTGAATTCCAAAGGGGAGCAATGAAAAACACCAGGAGGTTCTTAAACAAATCACTTAATCATTCCCATGATTCTTGAGGAGACTGAAGCACATGGTAGACTTTGCAGGAGTCCTCAAACCTGTCATTCCCCCCATCCCAAACCTTGCCTCAAACCTGTCATTCCCTGAGCTAGGTGGCAAAGGGGAGACAGCTGGATCCTTGAGTTATGTCATTCCAGCTGGCCATTGAGCTCAAAGGTGTTGGAAAGAAAAAGCAAAAGGCCCAGTGGCAGCACAGAGCAGCCACCCATGATGAAGATTTATACACTGAGGAACTCCAGGTATCTGCTTGCCCAGTCTGTGTCCCTAGCAGATAAAAAAGATTTCACACTGATGGTGTTCTAAATGGCCATTATTAAATCTCTATGTCACTGCACCCATCATTATCTTTCCTGTGCTCCTTTCAGAAGGCTCTCCAGTAAAGGATGGAACATTTGTTCAGCCTGGCTTGTCTCAATGAGAAGGCTCTCCAGTAAAGGATGGAACATTTGTTCAGCCTGGCTTGTCTCAGTGCCTTCTTTGGACTCTGTATCATGGTTCTGCTCATGCTGAAATCATCAGAGCTGTTCTCTCAACACTGTGGCCTGAAGTCTACCCTTATATGCCCACATGGGAATCTCCACAATCTCACTGAAAACCACAGGCCTGTTTCACAGAACAAAGTGTTTTACTGCTTTTTGGATCTCCTACTGTTCCCTTACAGTGCTGTAAAAGGTTTTACTGGACAGAGCAAAGCTCCTGTGCCCCACCCCTAGAAATACAAAGCAGGGGTCTGAGGGCTAAAGGAATTTGATCCTATAAATTGTATTTCTCAAGCTGATCATGACCTCAAAGTTAAATATTATCCATAGTTCAAGCACTGACCATGTGAAATAGCAAACAGAAGCCCAGACTTGTTATAGTGGTGCAGAAGGTATTTCATCACTTGAAAGCATTAAGATACTAAAGATAGATGGTGCCTGCAGCACAGATTCCTGAATATATCTGTTTTTTCTAACTGTTGGAACACCAACCTGCTTTTACCCGTTTGTACATTATAGATGGGGACAGAATGACACATCTCAAGGGGACAGATTCTCTTTACATCAGATTTCATTCCATATAAATAAATGAAGAAGGAGAGGTAAAACTATGGATCTACAATTCTTTTTTCCACAGAAACACAATAATGATAACAAGTCCATCTTCCCTGATGCTTAATTCATTTTCTTTTTAATTGCTTAAGAAAGTGTGCCTGTACCTCATTACTCAAGGTGTGTGTGGGAGGTGAATGTATAGCAGACTGTAAAGCATGTAAAGCTCATCAGTAGCAGTTTAGTACAAGCCTGAAGAGGAATTTGGAAGGCAGGAATTTTTGAGCTGTGATATAGCTTTGCCACTTGAGTGCTTTCAGGTGCTGCCCATATTTCTTTTGTCATCTCTGGCCTCCAAATTCATCAAAGGAGAAATATTCTTTCCCTAAGAAGAATGAAAGCCAGTGTACCTCAATTGTGGATGTATTAAAGACAACCATTATTGTGTATGAAAATAGAAAATTCTTCAATTTGCAATTGTTTTAAGGTGAAATCAGTAGACATCATAACTCTGTCTGATGTCTGGCATTAAAGATGAAAATAAATTATTGTCTGTCTAACTATTGGCTGTTTAGCTAACACTTGGGTAATATATACAAGCAATAAAGAGATAAGTGTTATACATTTAAGCTATTTATCATATTACTGATTTTTCTACTTGGAAACTAATTAAAAACTTTTTTTCAATTTCTGGTCCACATTTCTAATGCCTCTTCCTGAGCTGTGCTTTTTATATTTCCTTCCCCCAAACAATCACATCACTAAGTTTCAATACCAAGATGTGCAAGAGAAAGGAAATACCAAGGTTATTTTGTGAGCATTTACAAAGGAGGACAAAGGAGAAGGTTATAAATTTCTGTTCAGAGGCAAGATGTGATGTGCAAGGCCCATCATAACCTGACCTCCTCTCTCTACATAGACTGCTGTATATTGCCTGCAAAAGAAAAGTAGTCCATACCAAATAATGCATTGAATAATTGTGATTTTGAATCTGTGAAGCAATTCTGAAGAATGGATAGTAAGGGCTGCAGAATACTTCATTATTGTGCCAAAAAAAAACCCCACACAACAAAAGACAAGGAGAAGTGGCAAAATTTAAAACCTTCTTCACTGCAAATAATAATCTCTTTCCCATACATACAGTTATACAACAGAAGCAAAAAACTTTATTGTGATGTAGTTTGAGTTGGATCTGGATGTAAATGAATTCATTGGATTTAATAAGTGTTGGACCTTGGTTAGTTCTCTAACAGCAAGTGCAAAGATGCAACACTTGAGGGAAAAAGAGCCCAAAGAAAGTCACAGCAAAAATTTGGGAAGACAAATATGATAAACTTGGGAAAATGCATTTAACCACTTTCCATTTGACATGAGGTCTGATTTACACCATGTCCATTTAAAACTTTAATTGCACATGGCATGTGAGCAAGTGTTTTGTACTGTCTCCTCAAGATCAATGTTGTGAGCAGGAAGAAGCTTTGGACTAAGTTTATTAGAGAAGCTCTCCTGTTGAGTCACAAGGTACAGAAAGGACTCCCTGTCCTTCTAAACTCCTTCTCAGAGAGGAGTATGGATGTGGCTGGGTCCAGTCCCAGTCCCAGATTTAGTCAAAGCATTTTATTGATGCAATTGAATCTTTGTATAACTTTGTTCTGTGGGATTAAGGACAGCAACCTGATATACGTATATTAATAGGAGTAATTATTTATTTTATTGATGATTCTTATGATAGTCATTATCATTAGATAATTTTAATGCCCTAATCAGAATTATTTACTGTACAGTATAGACAATTAGAGTTAATAGCATAGTACATTAATTTCTGAAGCAATATTGTAGCAATGATATTAAAGACAGTAAAATAATTATTAAGTAGAGACTGGATGTTACTCTCCCATACCAACAACTGTGGGCAAGTCTCTTTCACTTGGCCTTGAGGAGCATCCCCATTCATGGGAGAATCTCACAAATGCTCTTAGAAAAGGTCTGTTAGAATTCCTTGCCATTAAATGTGGGATTTTATAATATAAAATTATTGACTCTCAGTCAGATGTTTGTGTTCCAGCTGTGTCAGCTCAGCAGCCTTTAACTCAGCAGCTTTAGCTAAACTATCAGTACTATCACTCGTTGGTTCCTGTATCAGTAATTTGCCTGCTACATCCTCACTGATGCCAGTTTCTGTCAGGAAACCTTGTTCTCCTCATCCTCAGAATGTTTAACTTTGGGATTGATGAGTCAGGCTGGTCTCAGAGTTCTTCAACACCCAAAAGCAGTTCAGTGTCCCTTCATTCTCTATCCACCACTGGTAGCTTCTGCAAACAGGGTAAAGTTCCAGCTCTTTCAACCCCATGTAGTCAAAGCAACCTGCTATAATCAGTGTCATTTAGACCCACAGTTTATTCATCTGAGGTCACCTGATGGCTCATGTACATCAGGACAGGAACTTTATAATCAAATTCAGTCTGAGTCAGCCAGGGTGAGGTTTTCTGTCTGTGACTGGCACACAGTTGATCGTTTGGATGCCCATATATTCCTGCCACTCACTGACAGCCTGGAGAAAGCATCCAGGTCCTTCTGCCTGGGTCACTGACTGGCTGTGTGGGGAACAGTCCTCCTGGCAGTGTCCTCCTGGCACATGGAGCCTGGGAGGCTGAGCCATTTCCCTGGAATTGTCACTTCCCTGGGTGTTCAGCAAGCAGTGCCTGGGCACTAGGACTGCCCTTGGGCCCATCCTCCCTGAAGAGAAGGGTACAGAAATACCCCTGCCTTTCTGTGAGCCAAGTGTTAATGGGGAAAAAGTTTCATATTCTGTAGGAACGGAGACCCCAAATTTAGTTTTGCCTGAGGCATTTGGCCCCTTAGGGTGTTCCTCTACCCTGACCTGGC